AGGAAACGAACGATCGAGTTTCAAACTGAATCTGATTATATGATTATACGCGTAACGAATAATCCCTGACATTTAAACCTAAGCTACCAGTAAATGCATTATTCCCAACGTGAGCCTGAAAGTCACTAAATCTGTAAAGTAGACAGTTCGGAAAATCTTTCAATATTTCTTTACAAAAAAAAAAAAAAGCGATTCTCCTATTAATTACAAAATTTATATTTCAATGTTGAACGAATAAAGGCTTGTCCGAATAATTGTCCAATAAAATAAACGTAGTGGATCAATTGCTCTGTAGTAGTTTCATTAATTTATCATTCATGTATCATTGGAATAAAATTTGGCTCGTTTCTGGTAAGCTATGATTCTGCAATTATTTTGTGTAGCTTTGTTTTTCTGTTTTATTCGAACACTGGTTCCTTTGTTGTTATATGCGATACTACAAGTCATGAATCATCGTCGCAAACTCTATCGACGAATAAAAAACAGAGGCAACATTTCATTCCGATGAAAAACAACATAAGTATGGCACTTAGTTCACGACGTCCATTTGCTCGAATAGTTGTATTTTTGTTGTTCGTTGTGAAACACTCGGTTCTATATAGTTCCAAATTTGTCTTCGACCAGTGACGGATACATAGTTGTTTACCTCGTATTCGTTCTTCGAAATTTTTATTTAGATAAGAATCGCATCTTCCTCCGATAAAAACGGCGAATCGATGTACACTTTGGAATAAAAACAATCGACGAGGCGAACTTACCACAGAGGATGACCACGACAGTGGCTGTCGAGTACTTGGTCATTTCCAATTTCTTCTTTTCGCCAAAGTGTACGTTCGGGCGGGAACAGCGGTGGAGACAACGTCGAAACGCTATGCCAGTGCCGGTGAATTTTTCCTGAGCGATACGCGCATACACGACACACCAGAGACCGTAGAAATGCACCTTCAGCTACGCATTACGATTTACGATTACCGTGGTGGCTTTGTGTGCCCGAGCAGTCCGAGCTCCGCACTGTTTGTTATGAGAGGTGTGCAGCAATGTGTCAACGTTGTCGGGAAGTCGGTGAAAGGGAGAGAGGAACGAAAACGAGAGAGCGAGACGATGAATCGAAACGTATAGGAGAGAGCTACGAGATACCACGAACACGCATCAACGCCACTCCGATGCCGAGCAATACTGAGCTGCTGAACGCTTGCGCTCACTTATATAAACTTGATGCACGCCTCTCCCCACCCTTCTCCGCCACGTACTCGTATCTTCCGTGCTCCAATTTTACGTGGATTACAGACTTGAACAAATGTGTCGTTGTCTTGTAATGGGATGCAGCGAGCCGAAAAAATGTTCCCGCGCACCGGTTTTCGAAAATAAATGAGAAGTATCGTATCAATATGGAGTACGCGCTTTAATTATTTGAGGTTATCTGGGCTGAAAATTGTTTCATCTTTTGTTTACCCTTTTTTTGTTGAAATTTTGGTTAACTGCAGAAAGTTGAAATTACTCGTACGTCATTCAGTTTAACACATTGCTTACGGCGCTTTGTTTTCATCTTTTTTTCTTGTGTACTAACTGTAATTATGATATCGACAAATGCCAGTTTTCCAACGTGAGCAGGTAACGTGCATCTGGAAGCAATAACGCTACCGCCACTGCAGTTTACAGTCGGTTGTATATTTCGTTATTTCCACAGGAAATTTGTCTACGATGGATCTAAATATGTATATAATTTAAGAATTATGTTTGTCTGAAGCTCCATCGATACGTTAGCAAAATTCAACTATAGAATCCGAACAATTTCACGTTCTTCGGATGTATTGACGTAACAAATATTTTTCATTGAAAATATATAGGAAAGAAAAGTTTTTGCATTCTGACTTTTTATAGACTTTTAAAGTTGAACTTATACAAATTTTTCTGAATTTTTCTGAACTTTTAAAATTTTTTTCATTTCAAGTTTACCAGCTTATAACTTTATACCGGTTGGACTTACGAGATTTTCAAAATAGTCTTCTTTTGGAAAGCATTCGATTTTCTATAAGAATATATGTACCATCTCGTAACATTTCAGTTCTTTCATTCTGAACATATAAAAATCAGAATGCAAAAACTTTTCTTTCCTTTTAAGTAGGACAATTCGATCTTTGTGCGGAGGTAATAAAAATTGAAATAGACAGCTGAAATTTTTAAGGGATTTGTTTTTAGTTATTTCGAAGCATGGGAGACTCTGGGAGGATTCAAATTCGAAAGCCACGTTTCTAAGAACCACCCTAATGCATACATAAAGGAATGTTAACGTCGAAGAACAGCCTTCTGTCATAGCCTATGTCGAATAGATGGAATCTGCAGGAAATCGATAGGACATGTATTTCTTCACAAATGGGAAGAATTATCTATGCATTGTTTTATCAGTTGCTATTACTCACTCTGATTGTGAGTCATTGCGAAAAATCTTCTGTCGGAATAAACGGAATCTTCCGGAATATATGCTAAACATATTCTATGAAATAATTGTAGAGATATAAAAAAGAGCTTAAAGCGTAAGAATTAGAATTTGTTTAAGCCCATACATTTATGCAAAGAAACAATTTTTTAACTGAAACGAAAAATTATAATATTGATTTCGCGATAATTGCAAATTATTTTTAATCTATAAAGTTATTTTTATAATCCATCTTTAACATAATGACAACGTATAACATGTCGGTCATTAATTTAACCACAACTTTTTTACTTTTAATGTATTATTAAAAAAATACATCACTTAAGACAAATTTATGGTATATTATTAATTAATTTATTTTATCGATTTTAGTTGGATTGTTAAGTGATTTTTTATTAAATGTGTGTATAAAATTCCGAGTTTTAATTTGGAATGAAAAAAATTATAATATCCTGTCAGCGATATGTAATCGGAGATAGAAAGGTCATGTAGGGGTCCCTCTTCTTCAAAGAAATTTTATTCAACGGATCACTCGCTTCTACGTATCACTTTCGGTCTTTTCAAGCTACTTATGGTGTCTAATATTTACAAATGCCATAGATTCATGTTCTATAATTACTATTATATCTCGACAATGTAATTAAAATTGAATGAAATCAAATTCATTAAATGGAAAGTTCCATGAAGATTTTTATATAATAGGAATATTTAGGATCGAACAAAAGAACACATAAATATTTATTACAACATAGGCGTACCTAGCGGAGGAGGTACGGGGGGGGGAGGAAACAGCTGCCACAAGGTGGATACAATTTAAAATAAATCAGAGTCTAATTAATAAAAACCTTAAATATTTTATACACATTATCTATTTCATATCTATTGTTTATAGTGTAATTACCAACAAGCATCGGTGGTTCAGTGGTAGAATGCTCGCCTGCCACGCGGGCGGCCCGGGTTCGATTCCCGGCCGATGCAATTGTTTTTTTTTTCTACCTTTTGATTTTTATTATAGTTCAAATCATTTTTCTACCAATAGATGAACCAATCAACACAAATGACAAGTAGTAAAACAACAGATCGATGACGGCGAATCATGTTTACGAACGTTTACGGAATAATAATACTTGTTTTTTATCTCGAGACCGTTTTAACACGTTATAATTATCGACCCAGAAATACATTGTGCAATTGGAATAAATATCAAGACAACGTGAGACTTATAGAAAAACTACAACTTGCATAAGAGTTGAGATCGATCTGACATGCATGATGATTTTTATTTTTAATATGACATTAACTGTCCTTGGGATGGAGATGAGCAGAGTTTCAATCGAGTAATAGACGACAAATAGTAATTCTTTGTAGCAATGTATTCGCAATGTTTATTCGCGTTTGAATAATAAACGTGGAATTGTTTACTATTTCATCTTCATTGCTTTTAAATTAACTTGTACATGTATAAGTAATCATGATGAAGAATAATTTCACAATTATTTCAAGCAATTATTTCAATTAATTATAAAATAAAATAACGTGTTATTGGAAACAGTATTTCAAATAATGTTATTCCATAAATGCTTTATTTTGAAATAAGGATATAAAAGTACGTTTCTAAAATCATAGTTCTCATAGTTATCATTTTCCTTCGAATTACTGCACCATACTTGAGATAAGTACAACAATGAAAACAATTGCTAGCAGGAACTAAAAAAGCAAGGAAAATCATAATATGTGCAAGTGAAGGACAGTTATAATAATACTTATGCAACTACAAAGATTTTATTTCAACATTTTATTACTTCACTATTAGTAAAGGCAAATTAGTTTTGTATAAATGATTCACATTTAAAATAGAGTAAGACTAGATGGTTTTATTTGTTATTTTTGTATTTCAGTATTGAGGGATGATGAAAAATATAAGGAATTACTTTAAGTGCAAACAAACATTGCATTCAAAGTTAAACTAATCAAAGGATTCAATGCGTCCTTTGTGATTTTTAGTGGAATCGCTGGTGCATTGAATATGTATTATATGTATATTATCGAACAATATTTAAATATGCATACGTTTTCACTGCATTGGACCCTATAACCAACTTCTATCCCTTAGATGTTATACACACATGTTAGAATTTGTATGGCTATATTTATATGTATATACTGGGTGTTAACCAATAAATAGTTGAGAATTTATATTAGGTTTGGTTCCTTTTATTCTATACAGATTAATTCTGAAAAAGCTATGGAATATAAATGCAAAAACTTAAAAATTATCTGTGCAACCATAGTTATATGTAATACTCTGGAAAGCAAACAGACATATTTCCTTTAATGCTTTTATAGATTGTATACATAATAGGCTCGTATGATTCATGTTTAAGCAAACAACAATCAACCGAAGTTTCGTTAAAATTCTCCATTAAATATATCCACGAAACAACTATCTTAAAGTATATAGATTTGTGAAGTAGAATGACAGACGCTACTCAACAATCTGATTATGACTTCTTTGCCTTTTTGCGAGATAGCTTAGTCACGGATTAATTGCCACGCGGGAGAATCATTCATTAATTATTACAGAAGAGCCTCGTGGCGTCGGTGTTGGGGAATGATTCGTGGCCACTCTTTCCAAGTCAATATTTCATTAGCGAAACCCCTGAACTTGAACTCAGCTGCACGGTTTTACACGCTGTCAGTTTGCGAAGTTGGACACAGTTGGAGACGACAGAGCCACGCGGTATGTTCTTCGAACGTTGACATTGGCCATGGAAGCCTGGCGTACTTTGCAAAGTTGATAATTCAGTGGTAGCACCGATCGAGCGAGTATGTTGTAGCCAGATGCTACGAGGAACGTATGTCTCTTATCGTGAGGCGATACCGCTGAGTGTTCAGAGCTTATAAGCGTTGCGCATCATTAAGTCGAAGTACGCATCGTGGTCGATACTTGCGCTAATCGCGCTGTAATAGTTCATGAATTCCTCCTTGGTAACCTATAATTAAGCCAGGAACAATTACTTTCTTGGTGGAAAGTGTCGTCTACTCGACTGTGTAGAGTACAATCTATGGAACCTAATCGGATATAAGCTACTAGAATATTTTATCAAGACTATAGAACGGGTGTTCTCATCTGTTGATACGCGTACCATTAGTGGCACTTAAAAATATCAACGTTGTTCGTTCAGTGGGTCAACAAGCAAGGGGTCGTTCATTAATTACTAGACTACGGGTCTTTATGTAAAATAAAATGTTTGCAAACGTGCCCACAACAAATTAAACCTAAATGGGAAGTTATTTTACTCTGCAAATATTATAACTTTACTTTCAATATTCTTTTTTATATTCTTTCATACTGTATGCATTTTGTAGTTTCTTGGACACTTAAATTTTCTATAAATTCCAACAAATACACAGTCAACGTGTTGTACATGAATGAATACATCTTTTTATCAGCTACAACGCTACGTCGTTAATAATAATAAAATATTCCGTTCTATAACTAAAGTACCAAACGAAGAGAAAGTTGAGCCTGGTACGGAAGCTTGAAAAAGATTGAGAACCCCTGTTACGGGCCACGACGCGACGGTATGATTGATTCTAAAGTGATCTAAATCTTCTTACAATGCCGTCTCTTGTGTTGTTCTGTTCGAAATTAGCCAAGAACTTGTTCAATATGCTCTCCTCACTTTCTTCGCCGCTGATGTAACGAGGATGACACTTCACGTTGTACACGCCTTTCAGATCATCGCACGTGATGATCCCGTCGCCAGATTTGTCCAATTTTTGGAATGCTTGTTCCACGACGTTCTTACGGCTCTGAGACATCGGAGGCTGCGCAACGATATGTCCCGTCAAGATGATCGTTCGACGAAACTAATCGATCAAGGACATCTATTTACGTACCCGTATAGCGACGAGGAACTCGTCGACGCTAACGTTTCCATCGTTGTCCGTGTCGAATTTGTTAAACATTTCCTGGATTTCCTCTTCCGGGACGTCCAAGCCCGCTTCCTGCAAGCCTCTCGTGAACTCTTCAAGGTTCAGCTGCTTGTTGCCGTCATCGTCCATCAGACGAAACGCTCTGCGAACGGGTCATCGAATACCATATTAGGATATACGACAGAGACATACGGTTTAACGCATAACTGGAAACTTTCGCCATCTGAATCATTCAGATATCGAAAGGCTTTCCAGATAGCACCGTGCATCCCAAGGACGTCCATTTTATATCCAGTTTATGTCCGAACATTCAACGTCCATGTCGAACATCCTTAGGATATCCATGGGATGTAAATTTTGTACGTTCCAGGAACGTCTTATTCAGGTACGTATTTAATAATGGTTATTCGTAACCAAAACTATTTTTGAAAAAAAAAAAATAGTCGTTATCCTGTAACTTCTTCCCATTTGGGTAATAACATCAGAAATTTATATACATATAACTCTTTGTTGGTAACTGTTCATTTACAACAGGTCTATGTAATATTAGGAATATCCATATGATATGCTACAGAGCAAGACACGATACAAAATGTTCTGTTATTAGCCAAGCTATTATAGTTAATGAGCTACTTGTTAACCCTTTCAGGACTGTTGTAGTACCCGTACGATCTATGTCAATTATTACGTACGACTGCCTGACGTTATTTAGTTTCAAACTGTTACAAACATGTTATATCGCCACGCAAATTTAATTATTATTTATTATTATTATTATTAGGTTGTCCCAAAAGTTTCAAAAGGTATTAATTCTACAAACAATATTTGATATTCACTGTCATCAAATAAAGTATTCTAAATATTTAGTACCACAATCAGTATGTACAAAATACATATAAATATTCAGGAATGAAACAAACAGGAATGAAAACGGTATAATTTATTTTTATCTACTTGAGCAGTTATTGGTTAAAGTACCTCGTCATCGTATTAAAATAATGTATCATTTACTCGCAAGAAAAATGGGGCCGTGACAATGATGAATGATATTTGATGGGATCAGTTATGGTTATTTGTGGTTATTTGAAGTTATTCGAGGTTAAGTGTGATTATTTGAAGTTATTTTAGGTTAGTTGAGGTTATTTGTGCATTTTTGAGGTTATTTGAGATCAGTGTTGTTTTCAACGTTCCAACTTGCGCATGCGCATTATTTCTTGCGTCAGTCTAATCTAATGCGACCACAAAACTGGCGCCTTTAGTCGCCCCAAAAAATAATAGAAGTGTACAAGAATTAGAACCACCATCGTTTCCTATAGCTACAGTACTGCGTGTTCGGTTTTTTTCGATGCGCATGCGTGAATTGGAAGCAACACTCAGCAACACTGACATATCAGTGATATGATATCACAGAACCGAGAAACTCTTTCTGAATCAGAGACTCTGATACGTATTAGGAATGAGACTGTTCAGACTTATCTACATATAGGAGTTATAGGACCATGATTAAAAGCTGATTCATAGACACAAGGTAGTTTCGAATGTTCGATGTCCCCAGCGGTTGTTATTACGTTACGCACTTTATAAAATATGCGATAATTATTAAAAGAAAAGAAAAGAAAATGAAAGAAAAAAACGTAATGAACTTACCTACCCAGGCCGAGGATACCATTGGCACCTCTGGCTAGGCAGAGCAGACGCAGTTTCTCGATGGAATCCGTGGTTGTGTGTACGGCCCGTTGGGCCTTATTGATCATCTCAATCTGTTGCCTCGTCGTTGCGCTCTGCGGTCTGTAGAAGAACATCCCTGAAAGAGAAACCTGTGCTGTTAACTCACGTGACAACCGTGACTCAGGTGCTCGAGAAAGAGAGGGAGAAACGAGATCAGATATCTATCTCTCTACATACAACTTAAATAAATAACGATTCGTCGGGCAAGATAAACGTTGGCTGATTCAGGCGGTCGACGCTGCCATCGATGATTCGGACCAAACGCTTGCTAATTAGGGGGCACCATCTAAAGCAGAAACGAATAAAGAATGATTTGAAATGCGATCTTATTTTATCGGAACGAACGAAACAAATAAATTGGTGACACGAGTAAACGAGCAAATAGAGAATAACGAAGAATTATTCGTATTACAAGCTTCTTTCTTTGACGTATGAAACTAGAGACTCGATATTAAATTACATATTTTTGTTATATTAACGGTAGAACTAGCGATAGCTAAGGCATACTTATTATGCACATAACGCTATATCCTTGAGGTTTCCCTAAATCATAGGGGACAGATTTAACAATTTATCATTATAATTACTGTGATAAGAACGTCGTTAATCATCGAGTAATTTTAAACAGTAATTCGTAATGTATTGTTACCAATATTTGGTTTGCAAGTGCATATTTCTATTTAGACTAGAGTTATAAATCTATGAATATAAAGCCACAGGGTTATAAATCTATGAATATAAAGACACCGTATATCTAATCGATCCTATTCAATATTGTGCACAACTCTAATACACTAAATTGCGATCATCGTGTCGTCACTTCTTTCGAAAAGCGTTTGGAACGACAACGCATTATGCCAGGGGAATTAGATGTCATTTTATTTGATTGCAAGGCGTGGCAAATTGGCTGTCTTCATTAAGCGCGTTTCCCCTGCCTCCCTCGATTACTTAATTAAGTGGAAGCAAAGAGTAGAAAATTGATTCCGGAAAAATGTTGATGTAGTTTCGAAGTAATTTCGCGTCGACTTAGCACTTCACCGATCGATCGCTGGTCGCAAGCATGCTCAAATCGTCTTCGTTAATTATTTAGAAATCCAAGGGTAAAGCTGAAATGCCAATCAAACAGCTTGAAAACTAACGTGTAACGTTAATGAAGTTCGATTGTACAAATCGGGGTGTCGTTTCGAACATCAGCCAGAAGACTGTGGCGTTCGATTATCGATTATTGGTATATCAGCATTGGGAAACTTTAAATTGGTCGGCACGTAGGTTCGATTTTTAGATTCTTTACAACATAGAACCGACTCGAGAGAGACGATGATAATTAAGATAATCTCGTAGATTTTACGAAATCTTCGAGGGTTACACCACTTTGCGCACCGGAATTTTCAGGCGTTTCCAAGAACTTTTATCGAATCGGTAGCAACATTTTGTTTACATTGAAGTACATTAATGTATCGTATAAGTATTCAACTAGAAAATCATTTGTTACAAAGATAGCATCTTGATAGACGATTTAGTCGAGGGTGTAAAAAATAAATGGTTTTGCGGTGAGCACGATACTCAAACCAGGTTCGAGTTAGAAAAGTGGAACAAAATTGATTGGTTTCCTTAGTACAAAAGCTAGCGAAATACACAGAATATACATTTTTTAAGAATATACATTTTTACGAAAATGGCATCGTTCCAAAATAAAACATATAGATTTAGACATAAAACAGTCTAAAATTGCGGTACTTAAAATCGACAACGCTATCGTAGTCGTGCAAGAAATGGTGGAATTAGTCAGACATCGGTTAGAAGAATTTTAAAAGATCGTCGGTACCATAATATAACAAAAACGACTGATTTTAATGTATTTAAACCCCGCATTGAAGTTCTTTCGATAAACTATGTCATATTTCATAAACTATGCAGGATATGAAAAAATTGTTCAAACAAACATTACTCGCTATTAAAAGACTATCCAAAACAATAAAAATTTACATGGCATTCCTTATAAAAATATGGATCATTGTGGCGCGGGGCCGGCCCCCCCCCCAGCAATATCTCATACTTCGCATGCAAGGGCCCATCGTACCCCATAATACTAAAAAAAAGAACTTGTCGATATCGCTAATAGTTTCCGAGAAAATAACTTGCAACACTTTACGCGACTCACGCTGTATAAAGAGTATTTTAAGCAAAAAAAAAAGAATTCGATTTTTTGGAACTACCAAAGTGGTGTAACCCCTTAAGAAACTTTCGGTGGAAGCATAAATGAGATGTCGTCAAGTTTTAGCGTTAACGAGGTAAATCGGGTTCGGTATCGTTTCACTTATCCGTACTCACCTCGATATCCAGGTAATTCTCGAACCGCGGTTGAATAAATTGCGACGAAGGAATTACGATGGGCAAGCGTCGATGAAAGATGCGTGACACCTCTGGAGAAGACCGGAAGGCGAGTGACGATACAGGGGTTCCTTTGACGCGGTTAGTCGCATTCTATAGGACGGCACACATTGGATCGTGCACGTGAACGAACACCACACTCACGTATCAAAACGAGGTGTGTTCTAGGTGTGCAATGTCCGTACGATAGTCTCTGTACAACGTATCCATAACGACCAACCAGTCACAACACGTGTATCGGCAAAAAATTCACGCGTGATCAATCGCCGATACCGATTTCCCGTCGAAGGACTTTGGGGCGAATAGGATAACACCTTCTATATGCTAGATATCTATCAATCCACTCCGCCTGGAGACCTAAAAATTTTGCACACTTGGGATCCTTCCTCAGACATTCGAATTCTATTTAGTCGAAACTAAAACATTGTAGTAGAAACATGTGTTCCTAGTTCGATTGACTGTGACACTTTTCAATAATGTATGTGCCAGTCGAAGTTTTTTCGCTCTTCACCTTCGCGCTGTCTTCCACCGTAAAGAAAACTTCTTGGTCGACCTACGGAATAGAATTAAAGTATTATTTCGATAGCATATTGTGCGGCTGTCGTTCGAAATCGTGGGCAGTAACGAGTATAAATGAACACACTTTGCACTTTCCAAAAATATTAACATTGACGCGAGTGTATAACATTCTATTACTATACGTATTGGCTCTACATACAGAGTGTCCCAAAAGTCGGGGAGGAGCCGGAAATGGGGGGTAGCTGAGATGATTCTGAACAACAATTTCCTTTGCAAAAATGTCTTGGAATATTTGGTTACGTTTCTTATGTTTTTGAAAAGCACAACTCCATCGTACTTATCGAAGGTCATTCGAAGATCAATCATGTACATATACATGTTTGAATTTATGTTTTTATCAGGTATAAGATTACAACAAGGAAAATACCCGATTCTGTTAAAAAAAATTGTCGATGACCTTGAAATTCCGGAAAATATGACCTTGAGATAATTTTATTGCGTATCATAGTATGCCCCTATCCAAACCAAACAATGTTTTCCTCTGACATTTTCTCTTATCACAAAAAACACGCGAGATATTTAAGATGTACGAGTTGGGTGGGACACCCTGTCTATAAATATATCATATTCGGTATATAATTTATAGTTTCGTTAAAAAACAAAATCCTAAAGTTCCTTTTAGAAACTTTAAAGATTTAAGCCACCTCATCTCCTCCCATCAGTCCAAAAATATCTATTAACTGAATTTCTAATTACTTTATCTTCTTACAAATATCGAACAAGTCATTTTTTATTATTCTTGGAGAATTAAATTTCGAATCCAGGAAATCTCAAATGTTTTTTTCTTATTATTATTTGCTCTCTATCTTTGTGATTATCGAAAGACGGTGCTTTCGACAAAGTTAGAATTCTAAAACATTCGTAATATTCGAGACACTCGAAATCCCCTCTTAATTAGGTTCATTAAAGTCGATAAAAAGAAGCTAACGCTTTAGGTTGTGTCTTAGGACAATTACATCAGAGCAGAAATAATATCCGGCCTTTGTTCTGACGTATCTTACCTCTGAAGCAATCTATAGTTATTATTGGCTCTATACACGGTACGTCGAAAGTAATTTTAAGTCTGAAATTATCTCGTCGTGTACCGTGACAACGCGCGATTATATTGTTTTGGCCTCGAAAAGCGCGTGTTTCGTATCGATGGATCGATCTGTGCACAGGAACTATCGATTCGTATTCAGGTTTAATTCGAAATTAACGTTTCGTTTGTAATTATCAATAACAACTATAAGATAATTTCAAGATTAATATGAAATACATTGTGTGTTCAAATAAAAAAATGTTTAATACTTCTTTGTAATACCAATCACGATTCCAATAATGAATTAGTTTCTCGAAACATGAAATACTAGAAACATTAGAATCGATTATTATAATGTAACTTTATCGACGGTGAAACCAGCGTACAGGTAAGTGCTGTAAGTAAAACCTACCTTACCGAGTGTTGATAATTGTTTTTTTACCAATCGATATTTTTGTAGCAATAATGTTCGATTAATATTTCCAAATATTTCTACGTACGTCCAATTTCTGCAATCAACGTATTTTGATAATAACAAACAATAAGTAAAATATATATTTATCATGTATGCATTTTATTTAGAGGAAAGGAACTTGAAGAGAATATTCTGGAACAGTCATAAGCCATGTGTTGCATTCCTCCGCCAATACGGTGAGGACATTTGGACCGAATTGTAGCCGGCTTGTCCCTCATTGGTCGATGTGCATTGCGTGGGTTCGCATGATTGGTGGACGTATTACATTCCTTCTCGCTATAACATAGCGTCGCAAGTTAGATTGTATGACAGTCAGTCTAAAACAGTAGAGCGTGCTGTTTGGATTTGGATTTAGGTAAACTTTCCGGTTCTTTTTTGCGTCATTACTTGTGAATCATACGCAACAGCAATGAAAAAGGCGTTAATATTAGTCTCGATTCTGTTCCTTCTGGCAGGTAAGTCAAATTAAGTACAATAATTATGAGGAATACAGCGTGTACATGTTAATTGAATCATAGCATCATTAATTTTCGTTTCTGTCGTTTAGGATTCGCTAGAGCAGAAGATCACGTTGACGAAGATGTTGGAACGGTCGAAAATGATTTGGGTGCCAGTCGGGAGGGATCTCGAACAGGTTATTTATTTTTTCAATCTATTTTTATGTTATTTCAAATAAATGGGCGTATGGGATTTTTATCTGATAATGGTTGTGAAATTAGACCCACCTCCCTGATATTGATATAGAAAGCTTAAAATTGTTTTATATTTACACTTGTGCAGTTTATACCAATGATCATATATTTCTTTTTTTTTCCTGGGATTCGATTTGTTTTCTTATTCAGAATTTTTTATTGGAAAGACAGAATGCTGTGAAATACTTAAATATGTTTGATATTTGCTATTTAGCTGAGAAACCATCTGTCATGATCCACATTACATTTTGTTACACAGAAATAAAATTTATTAAATATGTGAGCCAAGTAAAATAAGTTTGAACTGACAAGGGTATATAACATCTGTTTTTCTTACCTATAGAATGTCTAAATCATCATTAAAAATTCATGATCTCATAGTTGTGATATCTCCTTCTGAGTCTATAAATTATGTCATGTATGTAATGCAACAATGGCTTATATGTTTTATTTCATTTATTTATTAAGTACTAAAAATGATTGTTGTTAAAAATGTATATCAAATATGTTATATGTGGTAGCAAATATGTTAAAAATAATTAATCTGCAATTTTTTACTGACGTTTCGCAAACATTGCAGTCTGCTGCATTTGCGAAACGTCGGCAACAACCTGAAATTAGACGCTGCAACCATTTAGAAGCCATGAATACTACAAGGAATAGTATGAATGATCTTATAAATTCTGTAGAGAATTATATCTTTGTCATTTTAATGAGAATATTTTTTAAAAAAAAATACTGAATCTAAGTGCCATGTTACTTCTTGGATTAATAATATTTTAAAATATTCATATTTGTATTTATAGATCATAAATGTATAAGTAAATAAACGTTTTGCAGATGATCAGGTGGTTCAGAGGGAAGAGGAGGCGATAAAGTTGGATGGATTGAATGTGGCTCAAATGAAGGAACTTAGAGAGAAGGCTGAGAAATTTGTATTCCAAACTGAAGTAAATCGAATAATGAAACTTATCATTAATTCGTTATATCGCAATAAAGATATCTTCCTGAGAGAGTTGATATCCAATGCATCCGATGCTTTGGATAAGATTAGATTGTTATCCCTTACTGATAGAGATGTTCTAGATACTAATCCAGAATTAGCAATTCGGATAAAGTCGGACAAGGAAAATAAGATATTGAGTATAACTGATTCTGGTATTGGTATGACTAAGAATGAATTGATTAATAATCTTGGAACTATCGCCAAGTCTGGTACCGCTGAATTCTTGGGGAAGATGCAAGACACTTCGAATACTCAGGATTTAAATGACATGATCGGTCAGTTTGGTGTAGGTTTCTATTCTGCCTTCTTAGTCTCCAATACAGTCATTGTCACTTCGAAACACAACGACGATAAACAATATATCTGGGAATCTGATAGCAGCAGCTATAGCATTGTCGAAGATCCAAGAGGAGACACCTTAAAGAGAGGAACAACGATTAGGTAAACAAACTAATATTTATTGTACAGGGTCAGCCAAAAATGTTTCAGCATTATTTTTTAGGTATTTCCGGTAGTGCAATTAAAAAATGTTTTTGATTTTTGGTAGACCCTGTATATCAGAAACATTGAATTCGATTAAACTGATTAATCTGTTATTGCAGCCTTCATTTGAAGGATGAAGCGTTGGACTTCTTGGAGGAAGATACAATCAGAAATTTGGTAAAGAAATACTCGCAATTTATTAATTTCCCTATATACCTCTGGAGTAGCAAAGTGATTCAAGTCGACGAGGATGAGGAGGAAGAGAAACCAGTAAAGGATGATGCAAGCGATAAGGAAGAGTCTACCGAAGATAAAGTAACAGATGAAGAGGAGGATGCCAAGGTAGAAGATGCAGAAGAAGAGAAGAAAAGCAAAAAAGTTGACAAAACTGTCTGGGACTGGGAACTGCTGAATGATTCCAAACCGATATGGACTCAGAAACCATCCGAAGTAGAGGAGAAAGATTACAACGATTTCTACAAGGCACTAACGAAAGATACTCAAGAACCTTTGGCGAAAATTCATTTTGTGGCAGAAGGAGAAGTCACCTTCAAATCGCTTCTCTTCATCCCCAAAGTTCAACCTAGCGACAGCTTCAATCGCTACGGCACCAAAGCAGATAACATCAAGTTATACGTGAGGAGGGTCTTCATCACCGACAAATTTACCGACATGATGCCTAATTACTTATCCTTCATTCGTGGTATAGTCGACAGCGACGATCTGCCGCTTAATGTATCACGTGAGAACTTGCAACAGCACAAGCTCATCAAAGTAATCAAGAAGAAGTTAATTAGGAAAGTATTGGACATGATGAAGAAAATTCCTAAGGAAGAATACGAATCGTTCTGGAAAGAATACAGCACAAACATTAAACTGGGTGTAATGGAGGATGCTCAGAATCGCGCTAGATTATCGAAACTCTTCATGTTTCATTCATCCGCGCAGAAAGGTACCACATCTTTGGGGGATTACGTCTCTCGCATGAAGCCCAATCAGCAATACATTTACTACATTGCTGGAACCTCCTTGGAAGAGGTGAAGAAATCTCCATTCGTTGAGAGGCTAAACAAGAAAGGTTACGAAGTTCTGTACTTGACCGAGGCTATCGATGAATACGCCATCTCTGCTTTACCTGAATTCGACGGCAAGAAGTTCCAGAATGTCGCGAAAGAAGGATTCTCGCTTGATGAGGGAGAGAAAGCCAAGGAAAGGATGGAACATATGAAAACCACCTTCGAACCTCTGGTCAAATGGCTGAACGATGTCCTGAAAGAACACATCAGCAAAGCTCAGGTGTCTGAACGCCTCACAGAGTCTCCGTGTGCTTTAGTTGCCAGTATGTTTGGATGGACTGGAAACATGGAGAGACTGGCGATTTCGAACGCTCATCAGAAAAGCGACGATCCACAAAAGACTTACTACTTGAACCAGAAGAAGACGTTAGAGATTAATCCAAGGCATCCACTCATCAGAGAACTACTGCGTCGAGTAGAAGTGGACACTAATGATCAGACAGCGAAGGATATAGCTTTGATGATGTTCAGGACAGCTACTCTTCGGTCTGGGTACATGCTCAGAGAAACTGCTGATTTCGTGGACAGCGTAGAACAACTGATGAGGAAAACTTTGGGAATTTCCCTAGACGAAGTACCGGAAGAAGAGGAACTCCAAGAGGAGGAATCTGCTTCGATGGAATCAGACGCCGAAACAGAGAAGATCATCGATATGGATATGAGCGAAGAAGACAAAGATGAGGAGAAACACGATGAACTGTAATTTAACACAAGATTAACTTTTATAGCCGTATAATTATACAATGTATAGTGATGTGGTATTTAATTCAGTCGTGCAACTATTGGTGTTGCAAATTAAAACGAACTGTTATAATTGTACAGATACAAAGAGATCAAAGTAATCCTTTGATGGTTCTTTGCAGCATTTAAAGCGTTTTGTAATAATTTTATTGCAAAGATGCATAGAAGGATGTGATAAATACGCAAAGGTGACATATTTCGCTAATTAAGTTCGTCATCATCGTACTTTGTAGGATCTCATGTGTTCCACGTTCGATAACGAATTATTGTTATAATTTATTTGATTTGATCTTCCACTTTTTTATAGTAACGTAAAGAAATCACTGACTGAACATAAGTATAGAATGTTTGTGATGCGAGTGATTGTATTTGTATAAAAGGATATTAAACAATTATTGGAGTAGCATTTATTATTATGTTTTCTTTTTTACTTGAGCAGTACCGATTATGTAATAAATTATTATTATAGTATTTCGAATTCGTTTTTTTGTGTTTTTGATAAGAGAACATGCGATAACCTCGTTATTAAAATAACAAATTATTTTCGGGAAACATAAAATGAAGATACCCTGTTTTCTAAGGTTTTTCACTTTCGTTCTAATAAAGAATTCATTCGTTATTCATCATTATTAGAAATAATCGATCATGAATAATTAATTAGGTGATAACTACTTGAACAAAATTAATGGAGAATGTGACGTAGATTTTCCTTATCCAATCTTTGTTTTCGAGTTGAATTTACAAATTTCGTTGAATTTGAGACCTTTTGTTTTAAAATAGTTACTTTTTTTATTCATTTTTGTCAATAGATTTACATTCTATGTATTGGGTAGTATCACATATACTTCAGTACACCATACAAATCATATGAAATTTTCATTATATTCTGACCAGTATAACTCAATCTCCTTAAATAAAAACTTTAATTGTGTTAAAATTTATTTGTACAACTCAAAACAATTAATCTCGAAACTAATTTACTTCTGTTTTCTTTAGGTTGTGCTTCCTTATCCTACATTTCATTTCTGAATGAGAAGAGCATTCTAAAATCCTACAAATTTTATTCCAGTTCCTTGGAAAATTAAAATTTGACAATTATTATATAAAATTTAAAATAATCAGGATCACCAAAACTAATTAATCATGGTATATCGCGTCAATAATCACTTTCGTGTAGTTGAAACGATTATTAACTTGAAAACAATTTATAATAATAACTATTCGTTTCTCTTAAACCAAGACTTCCATAAAACAAAACTTTTATAATTCAAAATACTTATCATTTCTTTCCTTTAACTTGTCCTGATCGAGTTCTGATTGCAATCTCCAGGATTCGTATTTGCAAAACAATGCCAAGTTGCTCGTTTCCGGCAGACGCAGTCCATGCCAAACTGCGGACCAATGAAGTCGCTTGATTCCCGTGGAATCAGGACAAACAGCGTAGGTATCCGAGCGCGGCCGAGCGCTCATTTCCGTTTCCGAATCCGACGTCACCTACTCTGAAAGCCCGTGTGTTTTGTGTTTCTTTGGGGCCACGATGATTATCGCTAATTTAACGTAAGTATCGTCGTGTTCTGTGGACGAAATTACTTGGAGTAAATCCGTTCGAATTCGCGCGGTGTCGTTCGTAAAAGGGAACTGGTCGCGAAACCGCGCGAATTCCTCTGCGTCGAGTTTCACGCTAAGGAACGAAGACCTCTCTCGCCATGCCGGTCTTATGAAGCAGTCCCTCTTTCTCGGGCACGTTTAATTAACCGAGAAACGACTGGGAAAAGATCTCAACCGACCGTTCTCTTCTCCCTTGTACCGTACCGATCGTCTCAACCGGATAGAATGTTTCGTCGAGAGAGAAAAGAACTGTTCGCTGATATTCCGACGACCACATATAAACAAAATAAATGGCGTCGGCATACTTCTGTTCCGAATATGACAAATTTCCTTGACTTGTGTGTTCGTTGACCCTTTCGTAACCTAACTAATCGACGATGTTTGGCGAAGAGAATCTCTGCTTTCGCGTGCTATCTAAATCATCGATATCTGATGCAAAAATAGTGGCTGAATTTATTTTTTATCTACTTTTTTAAATCGTTTCTCTGGTTTCACAAAATTGTCATTAAATAGATCCGTGGAATACAAAGATAGTATATAATTTAGTGCTATCAAATAGTTTCACAACTTCTACCTAATTTGTACATTCAACGTACCAAACAACAAAAGAGTCAATTAACAACCACAAATGATGACAACTTTGTACATTTCAATTCAATGATTTCTTTGACTGACTGATATTATTTGTTGCAGGTTGAAATTATTGAAATTGAAACTAGATTTCTTCATGTCGTAAAAATATCTAAAGCAAAACACTAAGTAAACATTTTTACCTACAACTTATAAACTGATAAAAAAAAAGTGTAACATTATATAAAAAAACTTAAACAAGTTTAACTCGTAATTGTACATCATAAACAGAATCTTGGGCAAAATGGGCATTCAAGATTTGCAAATTTTTCTGGATAACAACTATGTACAAGGAGGATCCGTACCTGTAGATCTGTTAAAAATAGCACGTTCGATTACACAGAGACAGCAGAATCGTGTTGGAAAATCCCAGCAATTGCATGCTGGGAAATTAAGACTAGTCTTGGATGGAGAGTGCTGTTTAGATAGATTATATGGAGGATACTTCTCAGGTATATATACATTTTGACTGTTTTCATGCTCATATAAATGTGATATTAATGATATTTATACTTTAGATTGGGCTTGTGGAGGCCAATGGAACAGAATGTTACAATTCCTAGCAGTCCTCATACAAGCAACCGAAATGTCAGGCTTGGAACTAGCTGTATTCTTCAATGGATGTTTTGAATCTCCACGACTTGCAGACTGGATTCAAAATCAATTGCAAGTCCGAATTAAAGTAAACAATGTAAGTCGCATTTAATTCGAATCCTTAGATATACCGTGAAATCTACATAACTTTAGATGGTGATGTTTACAGGTATTAAAACACATTTCAACAAAAGGTACTCCACCACCAAAAATATGGTGGACTCCGCCGGTATGTCTGAGAACCAGTTTACGTATGGCTTTGCGGCATTTAAATGTTACAGTTGTAAGTCGATTTGTTTTAGTTACTTTGTAACATTTCATTCTGATATCTCGGTGTTTCTCAAACTGTGGTTAGGCATGGGTCTTGAATGTGTTCTTGAAAGAAAAAGAACATGTTATATAGCAGAATAAGCAAAAGCATTTTACTCGATAAAAGATTTTTTATTGCTACCTAGCAACTAACTAATTTTCTGTATCATCTTAGCAAAGAACATATTAAAAGTTTTTATTAAAATATATGAACTTATTTGGTTAGAATTAAGATGTTTAAACTATGTATATATATATTTTTAAATACAGTATTAAAATTTATCGTAAAAGTAATAACTTAATTCTACTTTAGGAGTCCACCAAAAGTTTTTCTTTGTCGAGGGGATTCGCGGGAAATTACAGTTTGAGAAACACTGCAGTATCGTATCGTTTAATTTATGTTTAAACAGTTATGTAGCATGGACGACCATCACCAAGAAGTGATTGCTTATTGCCGAGAGAATAACTTTAACGGCTTGATCGCCGACGATGCAGAGTATGCTGCATTCGATCCTCCAAGATATTTCTCATCTGAGCAGTTGAAGCTTACATACAAGGTACGCGGTAACATCGAGAAAGTATTCTTAGTACGTATCGGACACAGAATTAATAACAAGTATATGTTTGCAGGGTTCTCTTGATACAAAGGAATATGTTCTCCCAGAACTTTTAAAAGCGTTAAACATCCCATCCGATAGGCTATGCCTGCTGGCGGCATTACTCGGAAATTATATCTTAACTGAACAGGACCTGGCTGATTTTTATAAGAAGCTGAACGTTAACACTAATTTGAATAAGATTAACGTGGAGAACACGATAAAAGCGATTGCTAGTTTCGTTAAGGACCTTCCATCCGTAGAATTGGATGTAGCATCGCAAAAAGTATTCGGATCTCTATCAGACCCGAGGTGTTCCAAATTGAGGCAGTCGGTTCAGTACTACATAAACGGAACTAAAGAAGGATTTCTGCATTACAAGCCAGTGAAACCAACTAGAGGTAAAGTGCTTGGTTTATTTTTGTATATTTATATTACAAGAATCAAAGAAGAAAATATTATCTTAGCAAATAAATCATACAACAGTTTGATAAGTTTTAGAAAATAGACATTTTTTTTGCAAGTTTACTATGTTTATACGGCGTATCCCAGAACTCCTTTGCAAAAATGTCGGTGGGTGCTTCATTTTTGAATTATTAACGAAAAACACCGCCCAATCACAGCGCGTGATTAGCGCGCGCTCAGCTGGCTACGCCACGACCTGGGGTAACAACCAGCCAGTCCTGGCTCGAGATTATGTTCTCGCAGCTGAGCGCGCGGTAATCGGACACTGTGGTTGGTCGGCGCTTTTCGTTAATAATTTAAAGATGAAACCCCCACCGACATTTTTCCAAAGGAAATTGTTGTTCTGGGACACCTGTATGTACTATGTTTAATTAACTCAAAAGATCCTAGCCTCATTATTTTTTTTCATAACCTATTGACTGAATTGAATTTATACTTGCCACTTTAGGTAATCCTATCTTTTAACCTTTTTAATTGTACGGTCTTGTTACGCGTCCCTGAGTTATCTTGAATTGGTTGAGATTAAATAATTGAAGTCACGAATTGGTTAGATTCCATGCGACGTTTATTGTACGTCAGCTTGAATAAGTAAAATTATGAATTATATAACACGTTTGGAGTAGTAATGGCAAATTTAAAGGCATGTTCAGGGAAGTTCATGTACAACTTAGTTATATTTGTAATTATTTCAGTACACAAATTGGACTCTAAACAAAACGCAGTACAAACACAGTCAAATTTATCCGAAACGCCGTCGACGTCAGAAGGTGATTCCAATTTGGAAACATCTAGATTCGCATCCGAAACGGTAGAGAGTGAACGTGAAAGCTTGAACGCTTACAAACAGGCAACAGCAAATGCGAAGTCTGCACCACAAATTGTGATAGATCCACCGGGTATTCAGGGTCATGGAGACGCCGATAACGTTAGGACGGAAGAAGAACAAAGTAAACAAAAATTGAACTACAAATCATCGTTGATTGTTTGCATGCGATCTAAAATAAATATTATTTTATTTAGGTAATGGACACGCTGTCAATGGTACACACAACCTTCTAATTAGTTCGTCGAGTTCAAGCAGCAGTTCTTCCGCCACGTCACCGTCTCATGCAACGGCCGATTCTGCTAGACAAGCAGAAAAGACTACTAATATTCCGACCACGGTGCCAGAAGTGATGCGTACTGCATCTGAGAGGCATCAGAAAGGATTGATGTCCCCTCATATATATCAGATTCTCATCGCTGGCGAAATTAAATTGCCGGTGCTCCTGGAGGACGAAATTCACCGCGAATTCCCATCTATTCACATTATCTACAGACCCGTAAGACAGATGGTGTACGCGATATTGTTCAATCTTCACCATCGAATGTATTTAGCTGCTAAGAGTAAAGAGAAGGGTGGTGAGTAGAAACAGATCTAAAACGATGCACTCGAGTTGCTAGTTTTCGGTACACTTTCTCGATCTGTTTGGTAGACAGCGAAAAAGTCGAAGTCCCAGATGTTGTGATAAAGGAATGGGTATGGTCCAAGACGAATCCATATCAGACTCCAGAATTGGTGAAGGCAGAACAAATCGGTTGGGGCGTTCCTACGATTCAACGTTTATGGTTTGGGTACGACAGTTCTATTTTTTCGAACGTCGATGTTCGTTGGATTCTCACTGAAGATATTAAAAATTTCATACGTAATGTTTTTTCAGCACAGGCATAGATGACAAACGCCGTCGACTGCGAGGATTTTTGACCTGTATGAGATCGGACACGCCTCTTATGTTAAATACTTCCTACGTACCGCAACACCTCTTAGTCATGGCTTGCGTATTAAGGTGATCAATTTTTCTACCAAGATTTCAATTTGTTCATTCTTTTTAAGTATTTAAGTATTTTAAGTGTCTGGTTCCTTTTTCAGATATATCATGTCGTTTTCTGACAAAATAAAGATTCTACGTCGCCAGGAACTAGATGTTTTCATTGCACAAGCATTTTCACCTGAGCTCATGAACGCCCAATATTTGCAAGATCTTCAGGTATGTCGATACACTTAACTCGTACTTCTTTTTTTTAGCAGTTTACTTATTAAATTTATTATACAGCTTCCATTAGTGACATCTCGCGGAGTACAGCTAGCTACATTATTTATGGCTGGTGTCGAGACTGCTCTCTTGGCTAACGATGCATGCGGTGCACCCATTCCATGGTTAATGTGCTGCCCGTGGTTATACTTCGATGGGAAATTATTCCATCATACATTAGCCCGTGCCACGATCGCTAAAAACTTACTGGAACTCTGCAGTGGCCATATAGACCGCGTTGTGAAAGTCGAACGAATGAGAAAAGCTGTACTGGAGGGTATTAACGTTGTCTTTACACGTCCACCGATGCCCGTTGCTCCAAGTACGTTTCTCCAACTTGCTATTGTAGATTTTAAGAAATTCTTGAGTCTCGTAATACGTTCCGAAGTCGAACCTCAGTTTAAGGCAATATGATTTTCCCTTCCAAACACCTTAGCATATCATGTATCCTCTAAGTGATATGTTTTCGGAGTGGAAGGAGAGCAATTCAGCTATGTTGCTTCGTGGGCTTATGTACATGTTCCTAGCCTACGAATCTCGAAACTGATACAATTTTGTTTACATACAAATAGTTACGTAACGTAGAACAGTTTAGTTTAGATTACGATTTTGTGCAACAGGTATTCGTGTTTCGGTGCCACAAAACATTTTGGCTGCTGGCTGTACAATTAATGACGGTTTGATTCGCGGCCGCGGCAGTGGAACGATGCCTCAACGTGGACTAATGCGTCGTCCTATACCGTCTCGTGGTGGTCAATTGGAGATAGCTGGAGTCGTCGTAGGCCAGTGGGGCCCCAACTACGGACAACCCGGTCGCCTGCCTCAACCTCTTCAAGGACATCCCCGTGGACGACTTCCTCCACAGGTAGAATATTTTAAAAGTATTATTTACTTTCTCAAAAATATAGTAGTATGTACAGCAGATCTGGATTACAGTCAGTCAGGATTACATCAAGATATTAGTTGACAATTATTTTTCACAAATATTAAAAGTACCTGACATAACCGTTTGAGGCGTGTGTTGTAGGTGACGTCGATAGGCGGTCTCAAGTATGGTCTTCCACGTGGTTTTGCTCCCATGGGTCGGCCTACGTTTCAAACGCGCGGAAATAATCGTACGCAAATAGCAGGACGTGGAAAGAAAATGCAAATGAAGGTGAGAGTAGAAGATTTTTCTTTATGCTTCGTTCCTTCTATAAGGGAATCACTAAGACTGTCTGTTTTATGGTTAAGGGTTCTCTAACGTGAGTTTGTTTTACAGGTAACTGGTAAAAAGAAGACCACCGTTAAAAAGACTAAAGAAGTCGAAAAGAAGGATACCAGGGGACGAGGTAACGGTGTTGATGGAATAACGGATTACAAGTAAGAGTTTGTATGTCTATCTATTGCTGTTCTTGGACATTCTTATTAACAATAAATGTTCTTATTGCCAGTGACTCGATTCCAAACATGAACGCAACAAAAGATGCACTGCCTGTGCCAGGTCAATTCGAGGATGCCGTGGAGAACGGCAAAGGGATAGAAAAAGGGCAGGGCGACGCGTCGCTCGTCGCTCCGGTTGCTGCCGAGAATTAGGTATTTATACATCACTTTTTATCGACTTTTAGACACTCCCGGATATGACACAAGACTGCAATCAAAATCTTATTATACGTGTAACGGATGATTGTGCGCTACGCGACATCTGAAAGCTCCGATGTGTATCGACGGAAGCTTTGGATTGGTTTTACATCTGAGAGAATGAACAAAAAAGAGGCAGAATTTCTTTGCGAATTTTTTCTGAACGCTTCAAAGACCTAGACATTTGTTTTCTGAATCGTATCGGAAGTTTCGCACAAGAGGAAGATCGTTCAAATGTCGCGCGCAGGATCACTCGATAATGTCTAAAGCTCTGATGGGGCCAAAACTAATTAAACTAATGTAGGAGACACGACATCGGTTAACGATGTCGGGATATGTAACACATACATATAAAGGATAGACCCGTTTTCGACGTACACAATATGATGTCCTCACTGCCAAAACGTACCATTCAGTGTGTAAGATAAAAAAGCGAAACAAACAAAGAAAAGAAAAAGGAAAAAAAAACAGCAAAAGAAAAATATAGGAGAAAAAACAGAATCGTGCTTGCGCTAAGCGAGCGTGTTTCGCCGACTCCGCTCGGAATCACCAATGGGATGAACTCGACTGATTAGTGTATGCGTGCGCTAATTTTACTAAACGAAAAACAAGTCGTCGTCAGCTGCTAATAAGTATTTAATTCTTAAGAAGTGTGATTATTTTTTTTACAATGAAAATATATATTTTCCGGTATTATATGAAATGCTCGCATTGACGGTCTCAGTACTCTGATTTCCTGTGAGAATTTTAGTATGACGCTTGGACGGATGGACAGACGGACCGACGAGACGCACAGATGGACCAAATTACAGGTAGTCGAATGATTTTTGTAGATAAGATTACGCGAGACAGGATACTGAGATATTCATTAGCAAATGGAGACTGATGCTTTTCATATAGGTAAAATATATATTTATATATATATATGATTTAGATTAGAGATTCCCGATATATAGGATATTATATGTGTAAGTTGTGAATGCTCATACGTATGCGTGTTGCCTGTATTCGTGTGTAAGAGAGAGAGAGAATCGGTTGTTTATTTGCGAATCGCTGTGCCGTGAAAGAATGGGTGAACGTCAGAACGTGAAAGAGAAACTTAGGAAAACATAAAAAATGTATATATATATAAACGTGGAATGTTAAACAACATTGGTGCTGTGTGGACGTGCGCGCAAAAACCTGAAGGAACGGGGAACGGTTGCGCACTCGTGCGCACAGCTTCACTTCCGAATATATTTATTTGCTGTTGCGTCAAAGGGGAAGAATGCGTGTTTGCGACTTCGGGACGAATTACAAATTTATGTACGATAATTGTAACCGTGAATCCTCGGGGCTTTTCGCAAGTGCCTCGACCCTCGAAGAAGAACGAACAGTTCTTTAAAAGGGTTGGCCTCGCGATACCCTCGGTATCGCTTAGAAAATATGCTACACTTGCGTCGCAAATTTGTTCAGTTTATTTCGAGAAAGCGACGGTAAGCAGCATACCATTTAAAAGTTTATGATTGTCTGTACGAATATTGCTGAAACACGTTATTTCCTTTTCCGTTCTCGTTTCGAATGAAAATTCTAAGAAGAAATACACGTTGGAATTGTTGCAATAAAATATTTGCGCTTTCTGTAGCATATTTTAAGAGATATGTATGCCTCGTTTAATTGTATATACGAATAGTTACTTTAGAAGCGACAGTGTGATTGGTGTACATAAAGGAATATCCGGATATCACGTGGTTGCCACGTAAACCGGGTTAGGGAACGATTACGTTAAATGAAAAACAAAATACTATTTATAGAGTAGAATAGTCGAAGAGACTTTCTACCAAAGATCATTGGAGTTCGAAGAATGGGGAGTTTCTTTTATCCATGAAGCATGATATACATAAAATGTGTAAAAAAAAAAAATGAGAGAAAACGGAGAAGCAAGACAGCACGACAGAACACGATTATTAAAATAAGAACAAAAAATGTGAAGGATAAATAAGAGCAAAGGTGAGGCAGAGGTTATGTGTCTTGATTGCAGAAGTAATTAAAAATGAGTAAGAGAGAACGAGCGAACAAGAGAAAACCATTTATTGAGATAATATAATGAGAGATAAGAATAAAAAAATGTTATATTTTTGTAGATTTGTTATTGCGTAAAATGCATTAAGACAATGAGAAACTTTATATAATTTGAGTGACGGTTGAACAAACCGGAACAGGAGAGAGGGAAAGAGAGAGAACGTTAAGCCAGTAATTAAGATTGTGGAGGGATAGAGATGGGGGAGAAAAGTGGAAGTGCATTAGATGATGATGGTATCATGTTGAATATGTTTGACATCCGTGATTAATGTGTAAAAAAGTCTCATTAATTCTTCTGTGTCTCCGAAGCTCTCAGAGTTCTGAGTTGCTTGAAAACTTAAAAAAAAAAAAAAAGAATAAAAACAGGAAACGATAAGAGAAACGAATTTGAGCTATAAAAAAAAAACGTAACTCAATGTCAGCTTCGATACGAACTACAAGAGCGTATGCATATAATAAACAGTTTTCCCACATGTAATTTGAAAATGGAAAATTGCTTAATACGATTTTGCAAGGAATGGTAAAAACGAAGTCTCGTGAATGGAAGTGCTATGTTTGTAGATAAATGATTCGCTATCATTCGTCGATTTTCAATTGAAACATCCACATGTTGTTTTCCGAGTACAGTAACATACGAAATACACCGATACATGTAAAAATGGAAAAAAGAGTCACTGTGTACCTCCTTTGAACATTCGAAATTAACGACGTCAATCGTACACGAACGACAGAAACGCATAATGTTAATATTAAAACTAGAAACAGACATAAAAATACTATTCGTGAGTAAAAGAAAAAATAAAAATAAATGCCAGTCTACGCTTTCGTGTAAAGGTAGAAGATTTTCTTTGTAAGAAATCGATCGATCATCCTGAAAAATGCCAGATAATGCATAAATAAAAAATGTAACGAAAGAAAACTATGACACAAACACGATGTACACAATATGATCAGTTGCTGCTGCACTGATATGAGTAACGCAATAAACAAACAAACAAGAAATAATTTAATAATGATAATATTGATAATAAGTAAATGATGCGAGGAAGCAAATCATGAAAAGAATATAAAGTAAAAAGGAAGAATATAAAGGAAAGATAGAGAAACAAAATAGTGAAATCCATATTGAATGAAAACAGCAGAAGTATCGCAAAAAGCAAACGATAATATATATAAAAAAGAAAAAATGAAATGAAAACTTACATGTAACATGATCGACGATAAAGAACAGGTGCGCGCCTGACTCGTGCCTGCTTTTCGTTGTGATAAATAGACGAGTAAAAGAAAGCATAAAATTAAATAAATAACGCAAAAATAGGGGCCCACGAAAAAAAAACTTGTCTATGCTAGGACGTATCCGCCAGAAAAGGGGAAAACAACCAAGAATAATCTCTCTTGTGTAATTTTAGAAAGTAAAACCATTTTATAAACAATCTTCTCGAACAATTGTGTGTCGTTGTGGTAACAGAAAATTAATCATTGTACTTTGAAGTAAGATACCACTAACTCCTCGCTGTGTATCAGTGCTGATGGCACAGCGATAAATGCTTATAGGTGAGAAACGGTCGAACGAGAGAGAAATGTAAATTTAAGCGATTACTTTTTTTTTTTCCTCTTTTAATCGTAACACACATCCATGCGCAAATCAATGTTTTGTAAACCGAGGCGTTACTTCCCCGATTTTTGTGCTTTTTTTTTTAATTTTCGCAACGCTATCTATCGCTATATATTATTTTTTGTTAGGGAACACTTTAACGTTCGATGCAGCGTCTATAATTGAAACGTACTAATAATAATAATGATGATGATGATGATAATAATAATAATAATAATCGTTTCTCACCGTGTGAAAACAGAGGAAAAATCTTCGCTGCTTCGTTATTTGTTCTACATTTTATTATTTACTATTCACTTTTTTTTTATTCTTTTTGTTCTTCGTTTGATTTGTAATCATATTTGTAGTAGAGCCTTAGGTCTCTTCACAAAAAAAACCACACTATATATGTATATATACATAGAAAAAATATATATAAAAAAGAAAATGGAGCGGATCATTTAATTTCAATGATTTGTTTTAAATGATTGCCACAAAAAAATGAGAATGACGATAATGAGTTATATTATTGTTTCACTGTATCTCTGTAGAAGCACGCAACTGATGGGCATTAAAACCGTTTAATGTTTTTTTCTCATTTCTCTTTGAAACGTGGCGTCTAGCTTCGGGTAGATTCTTGGTAGCAACCTAATGAGAAACAAGCAGGTCAAAGCCCTTTGAAGGGAAGAGAGATAACGAAATGAGTTGCTATGTAATGCTCGATATTTAAATTTTAAGTTTCTTTTTACCATAGTTTCTTCACTTGCATACCTATTAAGAAGATATATTAAAAGTACGGTAGCAAAGACAGTAAAATAAAAACTATCTAATAAACTAAAAAACCAAAAAAAGACGTAATGAATTAAAAACACTTATCAATGTAGCTGCAAACGTATGTGGGCCCCGTCCTTATATATTCTTATGAAATATTACATAACAAGTATATTCTGCTATTATTTTTCATAGCTAATGGAAGCGACAAGGAAAAAAAAAAGTAAATGATTAAAATACAAGTGCGTACAGAGGGTAAACCATTGTATGTTACAATTTATAATCATTCTATGTTTATTTTTGTTTTAATATCTCTTTTTCCTGTTTTGTTGTATGTAACGATATAAAATAATTGACGATCACGTACGTTAGCGCATAGAATGGAAAAATGTGAAAAATCTTGGGCGAAAAATCCCTCAACGCGAAGAGTTTCTGCGTTGAGTGGCCGTGATGCTACGAATAATTACTACTTATTTCGAGTATAAAAGGAAAACAAAAAAAATATACATTATTCATGCGCTATAATATTGTCGGTGATCATATTATTATTTACCAGTATGGGTCGGTGGGTAGATTTTTGCTTGAATCGTGTAGAAAAAATATGTAAAATACGCTAAGCATTGGAAAACCATTTATATTTCTTGGTATGACACATAAATGTTGAAACTGTTGCTGTATAATAATTCAATGCTGTCGTCGGACATTATTCATATATAATTACAGTAGAATTCAAAGCTGAACGATAAGCAAACGTTTTCCACGCAAAATCGCTTACACCGTATTTGTTGACAATTTGCTGATGGAGAAAACAGGACAACCGACCCATTTGGTTCTTGCATTTTTCTATAACACACCGTCACATTGATGTATTCTTGTTGGATTATTCTACATTGTAACTTACTGTTGTAACATATACCCCATTCATGTCTAGTGTCAAGCAGAGCTGATTCTATGCTTTTGCTAGTTGGAAAATTGGAGAAAATGCGTTTTTAAAAGCAAAACCGATAAAGAGGACGATACCAGAAAACTGAGCGCGGAAATCTATCTAATTATTCGTGTATTTAAAAATAGAGCAAAATTATAAAGAAATTGAAGATTCCGAATGTTGTTGAATAATTTAGGAGCAGGCGTGTGAAAAGATAGAATGAAAAAGGAAATGGAAGAATCAGTGCTGGCGAAAACACGAGGCAACCAAAAAATTATTATAAAGCTAAAAAAAAGTCACATTTAAAGTACTTTTAAAGCGGATACATATTTGGAAAAGTAGGAGGTAATCATTATATAAATGTAGTGGCAATTCTATAATACTACGAAAGAAACGAAACCAATATATTCAATAATTATTCGAAATATTAAATGCAAAATGCACTTTAATGGATGTTGTAACAATTTAGAGTATTCAAATTGCATCGACCTTTTCCTGTAAATCTGTTCTTTGGAATGTAACTGCTCTGCCTGGTCAAAGGCACTTTTCTTTTTCAACAGAAAGAAACAAACGGTTGCGTATTGGAAAACGAAAGAACAATCATTTTCCTTTGTCCCAACGTGCAGAGAGGTTCCATCCAATGCCAGATGGTTTAAGTTTGTTTCTTTTAAATATGTATTTATCTCCGTTTATATTGTATAAAAAGAAATGCAATTATACAACACACATGCAAAGTAGATCGGTTAAGGTTTCACAGATCCTCTGTTGAGTCGAAGAAGAAAAACTTTGCAGGGCACGCACTGCACGGTTCTAAATAAAGGAAACAAACTTTCAGTAAAGTTTTGTAAGAAAGCTGTTCGTGTGAGAGGTTCTTGGAGATGGTTGGCTGACATTTTCGGAAGTTAATAATGATTTATTGAAACGTGTTGTCATGTCTTGAATACAATTAAAAGAACTATAAAAAAAAGCAATGTTATTTTACATCAACTTCAATTCCATTTCTCATATCCACGCGTTGCCACTGTAATATGTAGTTTTACTAACTTTTTACATTACTCCCTTTGTTATATATTTTAAACGATTTTGATATTTTATAGAACCGTACTAATATACATTATAACAGCAAAACCTATTAAACTTATAAACTATTATTTTACAGGGCCGTTGGTGATATAATGAGTGATACACAATATTTGTGACATTCTTTGTGCCTTTATTCAACTTTGTTGTACGCTAAACAATGTCTTTAAATATATCTGTCAATGTAGTAGAACATTTCAATATCATAAAGTAGTGTGACTTATAGGGTAGCTGTACAAACGATGTTTGTATTCCTCTACATTGGAGATGTAATGTACCAGACATGTGTCATTATTACACTCCGTGTTGGGAATGTGGATAAATGAATACTTCAAGTTTCCAGGTTTCTCTATTTTCGAGTCGACTGAAAGTAAACGTTCAAATTTACTACAAATCATGTTATTCATTGTTTCAATGATATTGATGGTGAGTTGTACGAGCGTGTGAGTACGGGTTGTATGAGCGTTATTTAAATAATATCGAAGATATCTTGATTTAGATAAAATACTATTCGTTATCTAAATATAAATGTGCTCAATTCTGTAGGTACAGTACATATAATTGTCATATACTCACGGTTCGTTTTGTCTGTATGCAACTTAACGTCTTTGTTGTTTTCTTTGTCGGTCGATTTAGGCGTTCCAATCACGTGCACGCTTAATTTTCTTAAATTGCTTCCGTTGATCGTATGAGCATTCATCCACTCTCTGAGCTGGTCGATCTTAATTGACTCTATTGTGATCAATTCGTTCTCGATCCTATCGAACATATAATCACCCGTTGTGATTTCTGGCCAGTTTCTGTCGAGCTCTTCTCTCAAATGTATGTCGGCGCATTGCTTCTGCTTTATCAGTGCTTCTTTTATGCTCTTGAAATCCTTCTCCGTAGTCTCCTTCAAAATTTCATTGAAGGCTCTTAGGAAAGCTTCGATTCTCTGGTCCACGTGCTCCGTGGAATATTTGTCCACTTGGGTGAAAACTGTGATCGTGTAGCCAAGAATACTGGAGGCGTC